TACACTTTTTGCAGTCCTGAAAACATTTTAGTACTTGAATGGGAAAATATAGTTTGACCAAACCTTAACTTTATTCTTCATATACATATACATATATTATATGCATATATATAAACACATACATATAATACCACAGGTTTGCAGTCGTAAAATTAAAATGAGTAACTGATGCCAAAAGGAAATACAATATGACATTTCAAAAAATTAAAATTCTAACTTCTGGTGGTTGCTTTGATTTTATGCTTTTGTGATTTTAGTATAATTTTTTTTAATTTTAGTACAATTTTTTACTGAGGCGTCCTCACAAGTCATTCACCTTAGATCAATCCACCATTCTCAATAAATCGCAAATGGCAGGTAAATTCAGCACAGGTGGAAAAATGCTTGGATTCCATTTTGTGTATCATGTTGCTAAATCTGTGTTGATTCTGTTTTAGAAATGAAAAATTTTGATGTGAACACTTGAAAATTATAATTACAAAGAATGAAATAATGAAAGTGTAAATAGTCAACCATAAATAACAACAGACGTAGCAATATCCTTCTTTTTTTTGCTAAGGCTCAACTGCAAGGTGGGTAACTACAATGTCAAATACTAACCTAACAACAATTCACAGAACGGTCTGTAATACTTAAGACATGAGTATAAGGCTTTAGAGCTGGTGCTGTAATCACCACAGCGCCAGCCCCTATGTCATAAGGTGTTTTCCAGCTCACCTGAAAAGTTTTAAAACTATTGGGAGGGGGGCGGGGAGCCTCTTCCTAATCTCAAATTTTTTATTAGTCAACATTAGGTAAATTACCAAATTAGAAGATATGTTTCCATTTTACCATTTCATCATACAACCAAAAGTTGGGTCTTACACATGGTGGGCAATTGTCAAAACATGCAAACTGCAAAACAAGATAAACATAGAAAGTTTCCTTCTGAGTACACAGCATCCTGAATTACACACGCATTGTAAACAGCAAAATTAGTGACAGCAATGGCATTTTAGTGCATTTGAATACTACATAACTAAAGCTACTACAAAATGAGACTACTATTAAAAGGCCCCAAATCATTGATTGACATTTGTATAGTCATTTTCTGCATTTATACTAAAATGCTATTACTTCAAGCATACCGAACATTTCTCTTAAGTAATATATATCCCTGTAGAACATATACTGAATTAGGCCACCAAGGAAAATAGCAAAAACTAAATCTCAGCACTTACTAACCTACACTTGAATCATAAGAATGTCAACATACTTGCTTGGAATTTGACTGTACTGGATCAAGTCAGTTGCTTGGCTAAATGAATTTAAAAAGGAAAGGATCACCATTTCTAATAGTTCTAACTAAGCACCAAGCTGACTCAATAGAATGATGGTCAGTTCCTTATTTTCATTAAAAAAATTAGATAACATCAGTAAAGATCCTTTTAGCTATATTAAGTAACAGGCTAAGTAAATGAATATATATTAGAAATGTTTTTATTAATTGGAGCAGTAAATATTACTGGCATTGGAATAGCATATGTTTACTGCATACATGAAACTTAATTTGATTCATAATCCAAGTTAATGAAAAAAGAAAGCTTCCAAAATAACAAAATTATTTGGATCTGGGTGTAGAGATAATCAAATGTGAATAGAAGATAATCAAATGTGACTTCAGAGAGAAATGTTACAAGAACAGAAGCAAAACAAATTGTTGGCAATTTTCATTAGATTTATATAGACTTAAATGTAACCTAAGAATAGCATATAACGAAACTTAGCCATTTCTATTTGAAAATAAGTTAGGCATTCGTTAGTTCCTGCTTGATGCTAGACAGCTAAATAGTCTTAACTAAAAAATAAGAGCCATTAAAAACCTGAAGACACCAACATTTATGAAATGATTTAAATGCATTACTTGAAAAATAAAGTGCTGAGAGTCTGTTTAAAAAGACATTTTGGAAATTAGTTTAAAATTCAAAAACTCACTGCCATTGAGTCAATTCTGAATCATAGCGACCCTGTAAGACAGAGTAGAAAGCCTTGTCCTTTTCTTGAGGAGGATCTGGTGGCTCTGAACTGCTGACTTTGGGGTAGCAGTCCGATGTGTAACCACTACGCCACCAGGGATCCTGGCTTAAAACACCTGGGTTTGGTTTTTTCCCCCCGAGATCTTTAAAAAGGGTTATCAGAATTTCTCTAAGAAAAATAGCCTTCTTTAACTGTGGTGGTAGAAATCTAAGAATTGTAAGTTTATTGACTACCTTTGTTTTTTCTATTTGGGCATAACAGCACTGTCCAATAGCATTTTCTCAAAGGTGGAAATGCTCTCGGTCTGTACTGCCCAACAGGGCACCTGCTACTCACATATTGGATGCTGGACATGAGGGTAGGGAGACAGAGAACAGAATTTTCAGTTTGACTGAATGTTAATTAAATTTCTATTGCCATATGTAGATGGCAGCTACTGGACTGGATACAGTCTGGCGTGTACTCTGGTCTAGAACGAAAGCTGGAAGAAGACTGGGAGTCCCTGGGTAGTACAATTGGTTCACACATTCATTCAACCGGTACCTGAAAGACTGGGGCCATGAGTCTAGCCCAGGCTCCCCGGAAGAAAGTCTTGGTGACCTATTTCCAAAAAAAATCAGAAATTGAAAACCTTACGGACTATAGTTCTATTCCAAAACTGACGCAGGGCTGCCATGAGTTAGAGTCAATGTGATGACAATTGGAAATGGAAGAGTAAGACTCAGAAGTGGTCACAACCAAAAGCATAAACCCAGGAGCTTTTCATTTCACCCACATTCAAAAACTAGTGAAAGATATCTAAGACATGCTGTTTGTCCTTCAGTGTGAGTCTGTGTGTCCACGTAGGTGCATGAGTTATTTTATTTATCTATTTTACTTTGGGAGGATGAAACAGCTCTACTGTTTGAAAGGTCAGTTTAAACCTCTCTATTTCAGAATTGCCCTCTTCTAAGTGACCTGTAGACCAGCAGTTAATACATTTTTCACATTATAAAGCCCTTTTTTTCATCTAAAGTCCAAACAAACCGCCAAGAAAATGTTCTTGTAAGCAAATTTCTCTATTCTTTGGCAGTAATCATGTGTCACCATTTATGTAACAAATACTTCAGTCCTTTTTGACTATGATTTGAAATATAGTTTTCAAGACTGTCAATCTTTATGGGAACAGATATGGGTTTGAACCACTAACTTTTCAGTTAGTAACCATCTCCTAACCCCAGAGGCACCAGTGCTCCTTTGTATGTGTGTTTTAAAATTCAAGTTGCAAAATGGAAGAATCCTGATGGCTAAGAACATCCCTCATTAGAACAAGCTGAAAACTTGGCTATGTGAACTTAAAAAAAAGTTCTGTTTACAAAGCACATCTGCTGTAGAGCTAAAACGATTTTTAAAGAATCCTGGCGGGGGAGGGGGGCAGAGGAAGGAGGGGGAGGGGGGGTAAAAGGAAAATGAGCTGATTCCAGGAACCCAAGAGGCAAGTGAATTTTGGGAATGATGAGGGCAACAAATGTATAGATGTGCTTTACACTATTGATCTATGTATTGTGATGAATTTTATGAGCCCCAATAAATTGATTTAAAAAAAAAAAGAATCCTGGCATCTCTAGTGTCTGCTTTTCCATCGCTGGTCCCTAACCACTTTCCAGATTCTCTGGCTACACAGCTCCTGGAGCTTGGCTTTCAGGTAAGGACAATGATAAAGAAGTGGTTAACATTAGGAACAGTCTCTCAGTTTCTATTAGGACACAGGCAAAGCACAAGTAAGAACTTCTGACCAACCACAGACAATTTAGTTCTTATTTAGAAAACTTAGAAAACAAAAGGTTTCAAGGAGGTATGGATTTGACAAGTGCTAGCTTTCATGAAGTTTATCTTACAAAAGATTTTTAATAATGTGACATCAAAAACAACAACAAATATCAATGCTCTAAAGCCGTAACTCAGTTTCAAATAGATTTCTAGATTTAGAACTTTTGATTTCTGACAGAAAACTCAATGCCCATTCATTTGAGCAACTTTAAAATTTTTTTTTGTGAGTACCCTAAAATAAAGAATGGAATCCCAGTGGAAAAGATATTACGAGGAAATGGCACAGAAAGGTAGGGGGTTAGGGAGGGGATAATGATTTCATATTAATAAGTGCTTTGAATCTTGCAGAAGAGTATAAATAATACATAGATGATTAGAACAGTAAATACTATTGATATTTATCTCAGTGACATACACATAAAAAACTACAGAGTGTATATAATGTACTCACTGCCCGTAGGTTGATAAACATTTCAGAATAAACACATAAATGCCCTTTATTTTACAACATAATTGCTATATTATTTTCCTTCATCAATTTAGAGATTTCCAAAGTGTTAAGGCCTGCTTAGAACTCTCTCATACACAAAAGCCTCAGTATACCTTGACAGTTCTCTTTCTCAGTGTGAGCTTGTGTGTCTCATGTTTAGCTTCTCCTTCAAGCTCTGAGAAACCCCACCACCACCACCAAACTAAACTCACTGCCATCAGGTGGATCCAACCCATAGTGACCCTACAGGGCACAGAACTGCCCCTTTGGGTTTCTGAGACTATGCATATTATGTACCCTGGAGGTTGGCAGCCCAATGCATAACCTATTCTGCTACCTGGGCTCCTTGAAGCTCCTAAGGAGACATCATTCAAGATACATTTACCTTTCCTGTTCACAACACTTTGTGTGGGCCTATTCAGTGACATCGAAGTTGAGCCTATCATTTGTAAACTAGAAGTAGCAGACCAAGTTACTGTTAGAAAGTTGAATGTGATTTTCAGACACCACCAATTTTTTTTCTACCTAAATCATCAGATCCTTCATGACCTAAAATTGCTGTTTTAGATTTGGTAGTTGACATTCTCAAAATGAAAACAGTTGCTTTCCCCTCCACTAATAAACATATGCAGTTGATACCATGTGCCAAACTACCTACTAAAAGAAAGAACTATTAGAAAATAAATTATGCTCTTGTCTATTCGTTTTTATTAACTGACCGGGCAGTAAAGACAGAAACTTTTATTACATAAACTAGCATAAATGTTATATCACGGTTAGGTACATTTAAGACAATGTGAGGTTTAACTGTATAATCTTTCCACCTGTTCATAATTAGGCCATTTTTTTGACTTGATTAGCCAATCTATTTTCCAGGAATGGATTTCCCTTAACAACTGTTTGTTCCTTCCATTGATGTCTAGTCTTGCTTGACGGCATAAAAATCTAATCTTATAGAATGCTGTTGGAAAATACAGTAACACAGAAAAACATGAAGAGACATCATGTAATTCTTGAAGGTACTTCTTAGGAAACATTGAGGGGCCCTCCACAGCAACCATTTTTAGAGATTGTTCATGTGTCAAGACAACCGTAAACATAAATTTTACAGTTTTTATATTCATAAAACTACATGTGACTTAGACTGACAAAACCAAAAGCAACTCCAAAGCCAGTCGATTCTGGCACACTGCCACCCTGTGGAACAGAGTGGAACCGTTCCATTTGGAAGTCTAATGCCTCAACTTTCTCCCACAAAGTGGCTAGTGGGTTTGAACTAGTGGCCTTTTGGTTAACAGTCCAATGGTAGGCCACCAGGGTTCTGCAGATTGATAAAAGGCTTTTTAAAAGAACAACAAAAGGAATCAGGAATATACTTGCAAGAACAAGAGTTAAATTATTTTTTAAAAATGGATGCCATCACATTTATACTGGTAGACATTATCTGTGACGTTAGTATATTATTTTTACAGGCTTCTCAAATACTGTTCAGTTTTAAACTTTTGAACATTTTTTGGTGCTGAAATTGCATAAATCATGTTCAAATTTTCCAAAAAAATGGAACGTATACCAATTATTTAAATATGCTTTATAGAAAGTAAAAAAGATACAATGAGAATACCCTTCCTTATATATAATATTTAAATCACTATAATGATAATGAATAAGCTATTTTAGATCTTTTAAATGTAATGAAATTGGGCTTAACAATTTAAAAAGTCAGCTACCACTTGACAGTTGGGACTAAAAGACAAGAGAAGAGATACTTCTTTTTTTTAATTTAAAAAATTAAAAATAAACTTGCTAAAATAATTTTCAAAGATTCTGTTATCCCATTTTCTCTTGCTCAGTACATTCTTTGTCTTATCCATTGGCTTCACTGTTAAGCAGTGCTACGTCAGTTCAATACCCGTTTCCAGGCAAAGAGCCTCTTGCTAGTGTAAGGATGAAAAGTGGGAGAAAAAAAAAAAAGTTCCTCCAACGTTCACTGACTACACATAAAAAGTGTTTTGCCTTAATGTCCTTCGCAAAAAGCAAGATGCCAAGCACTTTGCTGTCCCCTTAGGATCAAACATATTCACATCTACATGGCCGTCAATCAGCTGGGTCACTGCTAGCTCTTGGTCATGGACATCTTCCAAATGGAGAGAACGAGACATCCTTAGACTCTAAATGTGAGTGTGGGGCATTAGATGCCGAACACTAGGAGAATGGACTTGTTTTAAGATAATTTTTATATCAAAATAAAAATTTTCCAAAATATTTTTTCAAGTTTTTATGTGGTGTTATCATAAACTGAGATGGATGCTTGTCTTAGATAATTGATACTTTATACTGTTATTTAGTTACTAAGAGAAAGCATTACTGAGAAGAAATACAAATAAAGTAGCTCATAAATAAAATGTGCTTTTTCTTCAAGTGAATACAGCTTTCATTATCACTGACCACTGCTGTGTTTTCACTGTGGGTTTTCGTTCATTTGTAAGCACTAATGAAATACATAGATTGATATTTCCGACTGGCTAACATGAGCTTAATTTTGTACTAGAGAATTTGGATCCTATAAATAAAACAATAAAATCTCAACAAAACAACAGCCTACAATACTATCCTTGTAACCTAATCATCCCATTAAGCTAAGTTTACTAAACTGGGGATATCTAATAGAATTCTATCTTGATTAATTTTGGAACATAGGTTCTTTATTTAGGGACTCCTTTTTCTTGGTTATTATCAAGCAATTAGACAAATAGTAAAAAGATATGATCAAGATTTTCCAAGTTCTATGGAAATATGTATGAATGCATTATTTATTCTCCTTTCTGATGTGGCAATGACTACATTTAGTTTATTTATCTCTTGGCCATACATTACAAACTTCGTGGATACACACTGAGGAACATAAACACTATGTGTGAATATTCTTTAGTCATTCACTTTGTATCTTCAGACCCTGGTTAGAATGCAAACAACTAGTGCGTTTTGTGTAATGATTTGTACACTGTAGTAATGGGTTCACCCTAACCTAAGGCAGCAACACGGTACTCATTCCATTGCTGATGCCAAGACCAGTTCCACTGGGCCAGCAAACTACGGCTTTACATATACCAGGGGGCTCAAAATAGTTATAGGAAAATTGGATAATTTCGTGAGTTTTTTGAAGCCCTTCCCCCTGTATGAGTTTATGAAAATATAGCATGGCATAGTTCACGTCCCTCTCCCCACCAAAGCTATAATGTCCTCAAATTTCCACATAGTCCATACAGGCAGGAGCAAACCTCCTGAGAAATTAAGAGTCATTATTGGACCCTAGTTCCAAAGTATGATGAAGCAACTGGCTATTAACCAAAAAGTCAGTGGTTTGAACCCATCAACCGCTCTGTAGAAGACAAGATTACAGCCTAGTGGGGAGTTAAGTTCTAATTTGTCTTCAGGGGTTACTATGACTTGAGGGCACACAACAATTATTGAAGAAATGGAAATATCATCTATCCTGTCCAAACTGCCACTATTACAGTTAAGTTATATTCTTGGATTTCTACACAAAAAGTATACTCAGATTTTTTCCCCCACAAAAGTCTTTTTTGTTTAAACATTACAGAATTTTGAGAAATACCATTTCTTCTTTGGAACGACATATTAACAGTAAGGGAGAGTGAAAGTTATAAATGAAAACACCCAAATAATGGCATGCAACCAATGCTGAAGAAAAATAAAAAATGAAATCTCATTCTCAAAGCTTGGTAATTTTCCCCCTCATTAAGAGAAACAGATGTGGGTAGGTGTGTGGGTAGTAGGAGACCAGGCCGGGGGCAATAAATAGAAGTAAAGTTAAAACCTCCAATTTTATGGAATATAAGCCATTTAACAAATGGTCTTAGTCTTTTATTTTCATCTATCTTATTTGGATAATTTCTTAATTTTAATTTGAACAACGCTAGTGTTCGAGAGATTATTTGCTGTAACATAGTCCAATTTAGGGGTTATCTGTGAGATGAGGGCATAAGAACCACCTGAAGTGGCTGTGTACGTTCTGTCGATTAGGTCTCGGGGGCCTCTGGAGCTCCCACAACGCATGCTCACCTGTGGCTCTCTCCATTACTAACACTCGCTGCATTATGGTCTTATCAAGCCAGGAGTGTTCATATTACACTCAGACTTCTATACTTAATGTAAAAAAAAATCAGCACAGTGCATGGAGTTATTTCTATGTATATTCTAATACCTTCTTCAAGTCGTTTTTGAGGAAAAATGAAAGCACTACAGATATTTAGGTCAACTCTTAATAAAAACAAAAATTCCAAATAAAATAATTAGATACAGTTTTTGAAAATTCTTAATTACATTTGCTTGGTTGAACATTACTTAGTTGTAATTAATATATAGAACTAAATAAAATCTAAACTTCCAAATAACAAGTGCATGAAATAAAATCCTCTTACTAGGTGACCTAGTTTAAAAAAGAAAACAACAAAATTCAACCTAATTATGGGAATTTTTTCCTTTCATAAAACAGGCTAAGAAAATGATTGGAGGAGAACTTAATATAATTTGGGATTGAATACTTAGTCATATGAAAAATTTGACAGAAGGCATTTTCAAATTAATATTTTGCATTTATATAGCACCTTACATATTCAAAATGCTTCACAATCATTGACAGCCATTCATCTATGTGTGTGTGTTACAATGTGTCAATCTGTCAACAAATATAAGCACTTTTGAGGCAATGAGATTACCCAAGAGAAGCTGTTCAATAACAAATTTAAGGACTAATTATGAAAAAAATGTAAAAGAGATCTGTCATAAGACTTCAAATACAAGAAGTCTCTTATTTATCTTAATGACTGATATTAAGATGTTAAAGATTAGAAATTGTTTAGAAATTAAATGGTTTGTATTAAATAAGTAAAGCAAATGAGACACAAGGCTATAAGGAAACTAACTGCCCAAATGGCAAGGCTACCTATTTATTACTTGTAATATATGAAAAATAAGACTGTTGGATGTGGAGGAAAAAGAAATTATAAATGTCAGACAACATTGCTAGAATTTGAATCCAAGCTCCTAAGTGATATTCAAAAGCAAAAAAAATAATAGCAATATTAATTAATGCACTGTCTGATTTTTTTCCTAAAATTTCCCCCAACTAATCTCATCAATGCATTAACTTCTGCCAGCAAACAAAATAGCAGGAAATAATGAAATCACATGAATATATGTTTTAAAAAAGTCTTTAAATCTTTGGACAAATTTAATTTCCTATAAAACCATGTGACAACTCACTTTTACCCTCTAAACAGGTGCCGTAGGTACGATGTGTGCGCACCTCTGCCAACGTATTTACGTCTTTGCAAAAAGTGCACTTGCCAACCACTGTATACAGTAAGTATGCCAGTTACTTGAAGGGCATTTGGAAAACAACTGAAAACACAGATTAATACATCATAAAAAGATTAATTCCCTTTAAACAAAGACATTCTTATAAAGCATGGGAACACCGAGGCACAATAAACAATATAAATTGTATATCAATTATTGGCAGAAAATGTAATTCATTACAAAGCCTACATCATTGGGGAAGAGGACATTTTCATACAAAGTAAAGTATTACACTATCATACAACACGTTTAATTGGGCATTTAAAATTTTTGGCACATTAAAAGGAACTGAAAGGACTACAAGTAAAGGAAAAAGAAACTAAAATATTAACGATACAGGAAGAGGAAAAGTCCTCAACGAGGAACAAGTGAGTATTAACATAGAGAATGGAGACGAAAAGTGAGTGGGCTGGATTTCCTGAAATGTCGTGATATGGAACAGAAGTATGCTTGGACGTGGGTGGCTTTTTATTTCTACGGGCAAGACTTCTCTACCTTGCAGTGGCTGGTTGCACATGGCCAGGGTAAGATCTTCTTGTGCTGGTTGCCTGTCTTTGCCTAGCCAGAAACGACTGCCCTGACCCTGTAGTAGTCAGTCTGTCTTCAGCTGCTTTCTTATGCAGAGTCATTCCCTGCAATAGAGCAAAGAAGACGCATCAATCACAAAACAGCCAAACACACTCTCACGAAAGAGAAGTTCATCATGCAGAATTTGTTACGCTGCTCCATCACATACAATTAGGAATATTAATTCTTCCTCTTATAGATTAAGGCCCTATCTTGCAGAGGCATTTAGTCAGCAATCAGGTTGCAGATCTTTCTTTGAAAAATTAAGGGTAAATTTTCACAATTTATAATAGCCGAAACAATAGATAATGAAGACAGATTTTGGGGAGGGGGTAACATATTAGTCAAACTCAATCATACTTCCCTTCCAAATCAATGTGCTTTTCCAAGAGAAAAAAGTGCAGCTGATTAGCAGGAGTTGATTCACATGGGGCTTTGGAAATCATAGGGTTTATTTGAAAAGAAAATCACAAACGCACGTGTTGTGTCTTCAAGCGGAAAGCCACACTCCATATAATACCTACCCCACGCTGCTTGTCTTCACTTCGGGCAGACCTGTACTCGCAAACAAATTAAGGGAGTTCCGGAAGGCCCACAAACTGAGGGCCCAACAGACGCAGGGCGCCTTTCCTGAAGACTGGAGAAAGGTCAAGTGAAGGCCTAGGAGGGGGAGGAGCCGCTGGGCCAAGAGTACTCAAGGCATCCTCTGACCGTAGAGGACTATTAGTGAAGACAATAATTAAAAATAGTAAATAAAAGGCAAGTCTGTGTGTAGGTCATGAAGAAAGTAGGTTCCCTGGTCATTTAATAAGGCAGGGAATAACCCTGGGCAAAGAAACATTAAAACCCAGCAACCACTATTTAATTTCACTAACAAATGGACACAAGGCATTTAATGGGAAGGAGGAGAAGTTAGAAACAGAAACGCAATCGATGAAACCATTAAAACAAAACAAAACCCAACAGGTATACAAAAGGAAGACAGTCATGGAGGTCAGGCCAAATTTCACAGAAAGTGACACAGCTCGCAAGCAAAGCACTGTCTAACGCACAGTACATACGGCACTAAAAGAGAAATCTCCCTACACTAGCCAGTTTCTGTGAAAAGAAAAACACAAACACAAACATGGCTTTGTATTTTAGATATAATTTCAGCCCACCAAATGATCTAAATCAGTGGTTCTCAACCTTCTTAATGCCGGGACCCTTTCATACAGTTCCTCATGTGGTGGCGACTCCAACCATAAAATTATTTTTGTTGCTACTTCATAACTGTCATTTTGCTACTGTTATGAATTGAGCAACCCCTGTGAAAGGGTCGTTCAACCGCCAAAGGGGTCACGACCCACAGGTTGAGAACTGCTGATCTAAATGATCTAACTATAGAATATCCCTCCATTTTCCCAAAGAGAAAATCAGGAACATGTCTTTTACTCAGTGTGAAATCAAAGCACTGAGGACTTGAGTAAAATAGGCAAATACGAGTACCTCTCAATAGTCTATGCTTATTAATTGGATGCCTTGTATATATTATAATCTTATTTAAAATATATTAACTTTTCACTTTCACATATTAAACAGTTTATTCAAATTCTTCACACTGAATTGTCGGTCTGTGACACCAAGGCTGCTCTGAGAGATACCGAATACCTTTCTCACTTCCAGCAAGTGGTCTGCGATGCAGAGTTTTCTCAATGTAAGCATGATGAGGTTACTGGATATCTTCTCTGAACAAAACTCACTGAGTCGGGTACCCCTTCATTCTCTGAAGGGCTGAAAATCAGGGTCACTCTCTAGCATCCTGGCACAAAAGAAGGCAGTTGGGCTGCATAAGAAGCCCGACATATGAAATCATTAGCAAAATTAATCAGGAAGATGAAATTGCTAATAAGGGTTAACGTGCAGTTCACCAACCAGGACTGATCCTGTTTATATATTAAAGAGGACCAGGAAAAGGTATGGGAACAGGATATATCCATCTACTTAGGAATTTTTGACAAAGATCAGGCCACATTTTTAGACGGGTCGGGGCAATAACCTTGAAGAAGCAGTTCCCGTTGTAACAGTTAAACAACGGCATTGTGTCTACAACAAAACTACTGGGGAGGGGACTGCGAAAGGGGCCTGGTCCATCGACAACTACCATTTTGATAAGGCAGAAGAAGTGCTGTTGGTACAAAGAACAAAGAAACAAACAAAACAGAAAAGGAAGACAAGAAGTCCAGAAAAAAATATTACAAAGAAGGTTCGTTAGTCTTTAGAATCTTTTAATTCACACATGGAAAGTCTAAGTGAAGCCAAGAATCTTGGTACTTTTTTTTTTAATTCCCTGCAAAATATCTAAAATTTCTTCAACTGAAATAGTCAATTTGAAAACCTTCTGGGACTCTGAGTCTGACACTGTGGACATTTTCCAACCCCTGTGTGATGGCTACACTACGCGCAGTGGAAGTTCCGCTCCTGAAAAGGATACAGAAATTGTCCCATAAAATGAGTCACCGCATCTGTTTCCCACATAGTACCAATATCCACTGGATAAAGGGCTTGTTGATGGGCAGAAAACAAACTAAGCTATTTTCAACAAGTCAAACTTGAGAGGATGTATTCAAACTGATCTAATCTTGCTTAAAGTCATTCTCCTATTTGTGTTAATCATAAGGTCAGCAGCACAAAGGTGTTGTTAGTGGGTGGTAGGAGAGCAATTACTACCAGATTTCATTAGCAGGATTACTTCTATGGTATGGGGGATGTAGCAGACACTACATAGCCCTGAAATTTTGCCATCCGTTTAGAAGTGCTGTCTTCTTACCATGTTATACCAGGCACTAACAATATATTTCTCCTCCATCTCTCTTTGACTCCTTGTTTTCTCATATTCTTTCTAAAAAACAAGCATGTGAAAAGACAGGAAACAATTATGGATTTGTAAAATACTTACAATTCAGTTTAAATGTACAGAAAGAATTACGTAACAAGAAAGTTACTGCAAAGTAAAGAATCAAAATACAGCTTATTTGCTCTCTGGGAAACTACCTCTAAAGAATGGTACATTCGTTCCCGTTCCTGGAGTTGGTTTTTAAGGGCTTGGATCTCTGGTGCTGCTCCTTGGTTCTGCTTAGGGTCTAGAGTACGGATAACCTGCACAAAGCAATACATGTAACTTAATTTACTTAAAGTCTAGAATTTAGAGAATATTAAAACATCTAAGGAAACAGTTATTTAAAAAGAAAAAAAAAACACAAAAAAGGACAAGCCTATGGGCAACAACAACTATTTTACAAGGAAGCTTTAGAATTTAAACATATGAAATAATATTCTATTGCCCAAACTTCTTAATGTTCTGATAAAATCTATTACAATAGGCAAATGGAGAAAATTAATAAATAAGGCTACAGCAAACACAGCTGACAGCTTGTGTACCTCAGTTTGCCTCCTCATTAACACAGTTCTGAACTTGGTTCAGCTAGTCTCCAGTAGCCCTGTACTTCAGGAATGGTTTTAAGCCTATCACTGACGGTGGTTCTACTGCCTCTCCTGGCAGGGGTTTGGTTTAGACATGGACATCTGATGCAATGCGAGCTGAGGCCTACTGAGAAAGTTTTTGCCCCTTTCTGCCCAATACCTTTACTATCAAACTGTTCAAGGCTCTAGAAAACTGCAAAAGAGCAGACACAACTTGTTTACCTTTAACCCAGATTCTCTAATTGCAACGTTTGATTTCTTTCTCTCTATATACACATACAGGAGCCCTGGTGGTGTAGAAGGTTATGTGTTGGGCTACTAACCACAAGGCTAGCAGTTTCAGCAGTTTGAACCCACCAGTCACTCCTTGGGGGAAAGACGAGACTGTCTACTCCTGTAAAGATTTACTGTCTTAGAAACCACAGGGGCAACTCTATTCTATAGGGTTGCTATGAGTCAGAATTGAATCAATGTAGTGAGGTTTGCAGACACACACACACACTTTTGTTTTGGGACCCATTTTAAAGTAACGATGTGCAAACTTCTTGACACTGAACCTCTAAACACTTCAATACGTATCTTTTTAGAATAAATATATTTTCCTACATTGTCAAAATACTATTATTATCTATGAGAAAATGAACAATTTTATAAAGTTATCATTATTTGGTCCAAATTCTTAATTCCACAATGGTCTTCTGAATGTCTTTTATAGCTGACTGTCACTGGCCCCAATCAATGCATTTGGCCATAGGCCCCCTTGGACTCTTTTAAATTAGAAAAACACCCTCCTCACATCCACTACCAACAGCCCTGCTAGTTGTGTCTGTCTTGACATTGGCTCTTTAACTCAAGTTTGCATTTATCTGGTCCTTTCCACAAGGTGTAATTTAATTTCTTTCAATAACCTTATTTGTCCTGTGACTGGACGGCAGGTCTAGCAGACTGATTAGGGTCGGGTTAGATAATGTTGTCAATGGAGCACAAGCTGTTGGTTATTCCACCATATAAGTCAAGGATTTTGATTATTAGGTAAAGTGCTGCCTGCTAGTTATTTCTTTTACAAAAGGTACCTTTTCCTCTTGACAGTGCAGTAACTAAGCAACCTGGTGGCTAACCTACTGTGACCACTGCTATGTGTTCAGGCTCTTTTTCTTTGGAAAATTTTTTCTCTTTTGTTCTTGTCACTGTGTGTGATCAGAAAGTAGAATGTAGTGTCCACAAATTTATGCTTACACTTTTGGCTTTTTCTAAGTATTTTTTGTATCGTTCTTCCATTTGCTTCATTTCCTCTTCTTTCTTCCGCAAAGCTTCTTGTAATTCTTCAATTCTTAATGCTGTAAATGAATCAGAGTTTAAAAAGCATTTTCTAAAAAGACTGTTAATATCCGTAAAAGTATTCAACTAAAAATAAAAATTCATAGCTGTTTTTGGAGGGTGATTCCATCATTAAAAAGCAAAAAGTTTTCCTGCACCACCTCCATACACCAGGAGAAATAGAATGACATTACAGATGTAAATACCAGTGGAAGTAAAAGTCTAGCTGACTTACATACAACCACACACTGTAAACATCTAATTTCAGGAAACAGCAGGTTTCCAAAATAAGGTAAAAATTATATACTCTTTCTCGAAATAAGGCAAATTATTTAATTTTTAGAACATGTAGTAGGGCCTATTTCTAAAAGAAACAATTTTATATAAACTTATATAGGGCTACTGTATTTAAAACTATGCCAACTAGAAAAAAACTCACAGCTGTTATTAAATCTTGGTTCCAGATCTTCAATAATGGCTCTCTTCTTCTGCAACTCGTTATTGGCTTCATGCAGCTTCTCTCTGTTCCAAAAGATGGTATCGCCATTACTGCTTCTGCTGTTTGTGCCCAATAGAACAAGGTATGCATGTATGCATAACTCTTTTTACGTCATATTTAGGGTGACATTATTAAAAACTGAAAGGGATAAAGAGGCTGCAAACATGGCGTTAACACACCTACTCCTCACTCACTGACATGGTTGGATTCCAGAGAGTAGGCTGCTCGGTGAAACAGATGTCATGAAAACGGAGGATCACCGTGTCTTATCACACAATCAGTCCTCTGCTATATAGTTGCTAAATCACATCATCACATACTTGCCAAACTACTGAGACTCATAGCCCAGCCAAGCTGGCACATAGCTTTATCCATCACAGCCAGCATTTTTCTCACCTCACAACTGAGCATTTGTTACTGCCTGATGTACCTTGTTAATGCACAAAATAATCAGATAATACAATTTTTACTACTGCGGTAAAAGCGAAACACTGGATAATGAGAGTTGGTAAGCATGGAGTAGATGTAACTGAATATAGAAAAACGGAGTGTATTTATGAAAACATGTATTCAACTTTGAATGGAAAACGAAAAGAAGACAAACTTAAATATTAAATTTTCATTTTAGATGAACTCACAAAGTCTGAGAGGGAACCTTTTCTAGTGCACTACAAATCCGGACCCTGTTAGGCTAGGTCACCAAATCTCAATACTAAGAGCTCTTCACTAGACCCACGTTAAAAAAAAAAAAAGGTTGAGGTACACTGCCACAACCCACAGCCTTTGTTTTCAGTCATGGAAACATCAATCCAAAGGACCTCTGTGGGACTGGTGTACCGGAGGGGGACACTGGACTCAGCAGTCCCATAGGCTGCCCAACACGCAGTCTGCAGGAGATGTTGGCCAGTAACAGGGGGATGTAGTGTCACTGAGTGCAAGACACATGAAGAAAGGATCTGACACAGACAACTTCCCAAAAAAATGGATGATTTTCATATTTATTTGATAAGTTAGATGAAGAAGTCCTGCTCAGAGATTTCTGTAATTCAAGGAAATCTTGAAAATCTACTGTTGGCAATCATTAGCATATTTTAATGCTTTTATTTTAAAAAGGACGTTTCAACTGGCCAAATTCTAGGGCAGGGTCAGCTGATGCAGCTTGTGTGCCAAATCTAGCCTGCTGCTTGCTTTTGTAAGTCGTTTACTGGAGCAGAGTCATGCCGATTAGTAACGTATTACCTATACCTGTTTTCATGCTACAACTGCAGTTTCAAGGTTGTGAGCAAGACTATAGCTTGCAAAGTCTAAATAACTATAATCTGGCTCTTTACAGGAAAAGCTGGCTGACCTCTGCTGTAGAAGGTTTCAAACGTTCCCCTATTATTATGAAGACCATCATGGAGACGAGGGAACAGTCCTCAAGCGGCCCTTCAAGGACCTGAGACATAACAATGCCCTTACTTTCAGAAACTAAATGTGTTATATAATTTGTATACATTCAAGCGCCACACCCACCCGTGCCATCAGAATAAACTGGGGTACAGAACCATATATCCTGTACCATTCTATTTATTGCTAAGGTAGTTAGTTTATTGTGCTAACCTGGTCGATAAAAACATGTGGGGTTAATTGAAGGGCAGAGGGATAAATGGCTTGGTGAGCCTCGCCTTTCTACTTCTCAGGTCTCTTGCTTTGTGATGGTCGGACCAGGGTGCAGCTGGCTTAGCCAGTTCCCTGCTTTAGCTGGCAAGGCTCACTTCCTGCAAGACATCCCTGAGAAGCCACATGGACCTACCCCATGAAGCCCTGGGTGCTGGAGCACCTGTGTGGAGAACCCTGCCAGCGCTGAGATGTTTACACATTCATTGACTCAGCTTTCCTCCTGCAGTTGGCATCATTGCGTCTGTTTTGTGAGATGGAGGACTTTGTGGGTTGGTGTTGGACCTATGGGTTAATGTTGGACTTGTGGACTTGGGCAGCACTGGGTTGGGATGTTTTCTTGATGTGCAATTAACTGTTATATAAAACTCTCTCTTATACATGAGTTTCTGTGGATTTGTTTCTCTAAAGTACCCATACTAACAGAATTGCTTTCAATCATCTGGAGACTTCAGAATAAGGAAAGTTTTCTAAATCTTATCTACATATAGAAAAAAGTTCAACTCAGCAGCCCCCTCACATAAAGCATTTATGCTCCACGAGGTCATCTAAGAACAAGTCACCATCTCTTTCGTACTTACAGGTGTTCTTCAAGCTTCTTTTTAAGAAGAATTGACTGAAAAAGAAAATGAAACCGGTTATTACTTACCATCCTAACTAGTAAGCTAATTATGAAAAAACTTAAGAGTAAAATAGTACTTAAGTGAGTGAGAGCTCAGTAATTTCCCTGGCTAAAGAACTCTAAACACACACCTGAAGTATAATCCTTTTTGATAAGGGAGAGAGCAGCCTGTGCGTGATAGCAAGCGATCTAAAATACTCAAAAACGAGATATCTAAATACTCAATCCGTGGTCTGGTTTGCTAATTTTTTTTAGTTATTGATAACCTAAGTATCTTAAGGGTAAAGGCCATAAGCCTAAACAGTAATATTGCATATTCCTTTTGTGTAACATTCCTTCATTTAAAATGTCAATACCATCACCTATGAAGGCAGATAATACGCAAATAAAAAACTGAAATATATATATAGAGAAATGTAGCGGTACTTACAATAGCCTTGAGCAGAAACCATGCCAAAAGACAGAGAGCACATTATTAGTACGAAGCAAACAGCAGCCAATAGAAGAAACGATTTAGTAATTCATGAACAGAAGTAAAAGATATGCTTTAAAATTTTTCTCTCAAATGCACATTTTTCTTTCTTCTATGGTCTCCTCCTTCTGTCTTGTTCTCTGGAGTTTTATATACTGTGGCTAGTTCAAATTATCCATATGACTGGATTTAACAGTGCTTTTCTGCTTCCATGCTAAAAACACATGATACAAGAATAGTAACAATGTGCAAACCATCCTACACTACAGGGTTAGGGACACCTGAAAGGGCGGCGCCTTTTGACAACAGAAACAGCCAGAGGTCTGTCATCCTTCTTCGGAGGGGATTGGTTCCATTTTGCAGGCTGTTTTATGTATTGCATAGTCCTGAGATGCAACACTGTATGTAAGTGAAGGAGAAAAAGAAGGCAAAAGCATCAAAAATACACTGAGGGACAGAGCTGTACATCCTGTGCCATACTACTTATTTCTATAAGCCAACGGGTGACTTCAGAATAAGGAAAGCTTTTTATCTGGGTCTTGTCCACACAAAGACAAAAATATCAGACATAATATTATTTCGTATAGAACAAGACAAGGAACCTTGGTAGCAAGTGGTCTAGTGCTCAGCTGCTGATCCAAAGGTCGGTGGTCTGAACACACCAGGTGCTCCTGAGAAGAAAGCTGCTGCAGCCGCTTCCATACAGCTTACAGCCTTGCGAAGCCTATGGGGCAGTTCTACCCTGTCCTGTGGGGAGGCGATGAGTCCGGCAGACTCCACGCAGTGAGGAGTAGTAGGAAATCCTCTCTGGGTCATCTCTACGGTATTGTTACTTAGGCTTAATCATAGTTCATGAATGGTGGTTGGTTTCACCTCCTTGGATCTAGGCTTTTACATCAAACTATGATTAAAGTTAACCATGACCTTTTAAATAAGTTCTGTCATAATAAGGGAATAATAGAGCTTACGCATTGGTAAGAATATAACCTCTTAGCCTGGGAATCTAATATCACTAACACATTAACAGATAAACTAAAACCCCATCTTAGAATGAAGAGAATGCTGCCAATATAAACTACATGTATGTTTAAGGTTGACAAAATTAGCTGATTAATAGCATTTTAAAAGTTAACAATCTTAGGTGATATAAGAGGGGTTTTAAAAATTCATGGAAAAAATTCATTATTGTTAAATTCCATTTTTCCTATGAACTTTTTGAAGCTTCTTTGTACACTTAAGTTATATCCTTTCATTGATTCCTTTTGTTTTTTACACTGTTATGTTACTGATAAAGTTAGATTCAATTGCTATAACTTTATATATACACCTAATTCTGAAGCTGATTCCTTAAATGACTATGACTGTAAACAACAGATACATACTTTTAGAGCCAGATTATACTAGCTGACAACAGGAAAAGCAAATCAACTAGCTGAGGCAAAGACAAGTCACCAAAACGTATTCGCTCTACCTCTTTACACTATGTTCGCACTTTCTAAGTCTCAGGTCTTTTGTACATGGTCCAATACATTTAATTTTTTATACTGATAAAAATATGAATTATCTACACTTTCATCAAAAACCAGTTGGCTAATACGTGCTGAGGAACCCTGGTGGCACAGTGGGTACACACCGGGCAGTGGTAAAAAGGGCATCCCTATTTGGTTGGATAGGGTCACTATGAATTCGAATTCACTTGAAGGCAGTGGGTTTTAGGGTCCAAGGTGTCCTGGGTGGTGGCATGCAGAGATGAAGTTAATGAATCTACTCTATGTTAATGCGTGTGCCAATCAAACAGACAGGGGTATAACAAGGGTATGCAGAGTATTAAAGGAATCTAAACAAAGGTCAGTGAACTGATATTTGAATTGGGAAATAATAAGAGGGATTTAGAAATTTAGAGATAGGATTCCAGGAATGACATTATATATTTTAAATATCAATTTTATATTAAAATTTTTTACTTAACATTTTAAGTTTCTAAAATCAGTTTGGGGGAGTAGCTGAGGGGAATACTATAAGAAAAACCCACATTTCATCTTTGAATACTCAGTTCAGCATATATAATTAAGACATAAAGCACCAATTAATTCCCTAGTTGACAGAAAATAATGAAATTCTAATTTATAGCAGAGTGAATCTGGGAAAGATAATAAAGTATTGTCTGGTCCTTTGATAAGGGAAAATTAATAAGAAAACACTTGTTTCTCTTCTTTAAGCAATATAATTATAAATTATTTTGTTAAAGCCCACCAAATAAAGAATAAAAGAGCTTTTCCCAACACTATGAAATTGTTGGGCAGAGACTGGTACGTTTTAAAACTTACATCTTCTGCTTTTGATCCTTGATCCTGTAAAGACTTTTGCAATTCTTCAACTTGGGATTGCACTTCCAGAAGTCTTTGATTCACCAGCCTAGAATTCAAATGTGCATTAGTTTTCCAAATGCTAAATTAAAGCTTTTCCTTATATTTTTTAAGAGAGAGTGTATAATTAGTAAAACAAATTCACACTTAATTTTCTTTTTATTTTTTTGAGTGTTGAAATTTCTAATTATGAATTCTAATTTCATTTTTTTAATGGAAGCATTTTATCAAACTGATGTACCTAGGCATACAAATTTATCCGATTTCACATCCATATAAGTTTATGAAGACAGGCACTACATTCAGTACTAATGACAAAAGATGTCTGCAATCAAGGGCCCTTACAGTTCAGTGAAAAGGAAAAAAATTTAAAAATATAACCAGATTAATGCCTCAACATGGCATACATATACAGATGTGCACAAAAGCAATGATGGCTGTGGGAACAAGTAAAGATTTTACCTAATTTAACATAGGCTTGACTACAATGATAAATAAAATACCTCTTGTGGTTAAAGATGAAAAGGGAATTCAAGATACATTTCAACTTGCCCAAAGTGCACAGAAAAATGAGGAGGTGCAGTGAGCTCAGAAATGGCATGGCTAACTTCACAAAAAAGATCACATGGCCGGCCCCACTATGAGACACAACATCCCTCACTGACCCATGGCCCTACAGGGGACAACACTGGAGAAACAGAGTGGGAATTCCACTGGATCTGATCCCGAGCCAAACACAAAGGGCGTGTAACAGAACAGCAAGGGGAACAGAGCAACGAAGTCCCCAGGGAATACCAAAAATAGACTGGGGCAAAGGCTTGGTGCCCCATCAGACTCGACCGGAAAACACTCTTAAAAGGCCAACAAACAGTCCTGGAATTAACTATAAGCTTTTCTTTCTTGTGTTTTGTTGTTTTTTTGTGTGTGTCTGTGATTGGCTTGTTGTTGTTTTATTGTATATTGTTGCTTGGTTTTGTTCTGTCTTGTTTTTGTGTGTGTTATCTCTGTAGGTCTGTCAAAATAAGATAGGCTGGATGAACAATCTGGAGGAGAAAACAACGGACGGACAGTTCCGGGGGAACATGGGAGAGGGGGAGGTGGGAGGAAAGGAAGTGGTGTTAACAAACTCAGAAACAATGAAACAAAAAGTGATCCAAATCGGGGTGAGGAGGGTGTAGGAGGCCTGGTAGGGCCTGACCAAGGGTAATGTAACTGAGAGGAATTACTGAAACCCAAATGAAGGCTGAACATGATAGTGGGCCAAGAGGAAAGTAAAAGGAAATAGAAGAAAGAGCTAGGAGGCATAGGGTATATTTAGAGGTCTAAATAAAGGCATGTACATATGTAAATATATATATGGATGTGGAAATAGATCTATGTGGATATATTTATAGGTTTAGTATTAAGGTAGCAGATGGACATTGGGCCTCCACTCAAGTACTCCTTCAATGCAAGAATACTTTCTTCTATTAAATTGGCATTCTTTCGACCTTGCAAGTCTGGCTAGACCAGAGGATGTACACTGGTACAGATAGGAACTGAAAATACAGGGAATCCAGGGAAGATGAGCCCTACAGGACCAGTGGTGTGAGTGGCGAAACAGGGAGGGTAGAGGGAGAGTGGGTAGGAAAGAGGGAACCGGTTACAAGGAACTATATGTGACCTCCTCCCTGGGGGACGGACAACAGAAAAGTGGGTGAAGGGAGACGTCGGACAGGTCAAGATATGACAAAATAACAATTTATAAACTATCAAGGGCTTATGATGGAGAGGAAAGGGAAGGGGAGGGAGGGGAAAAATGAGGACCTAATGCTGGGGATTTAAGTGGAGAGAAAATGTTTTGAGAATGATGAGGGCAATGAATGTACAAATGCGCTTTATACAATTGATGTGTGTATGGATTGTGGTAAGAGTTGTATGAGCCCCAAATAAAGTGATTTGAAAAAAATAAATAAATAAATTGTCATTCTTTGTGATTTACACAATTGATGTATATATGAATTGTGATGAGTTGCATGAGCCCCTAATAAAATTATTCTTTAAAAATTGACAAAAAAACAAAACAAAACAAAAAAACCCCCAAAGAATATGTTCTACAATTGAATATGGTTATAATTGTACAACTCTTCTTGATATAACTGAATAATTGAATTGTATGACATGTGGATGAAAGGCTAATAAAACTTTTAAAAAATGGCCTGGCTGAAGAATAGGTTATGAGGGGAGACTGGCTGGAGGAAAAAGGACTAGATAAGGCACCGCCTTGTGAAACATGCAAATGAGGCTGGCTGTGCAATGAGAGCCAGCCGCCTTTAATAACACCAATTCCAGAGCTCTAGCTTCACAAATTCTTCATAAGGTTGTTATGATGCAGCATGGAATTATTACTGAAACAGGAAATGAAGCCATATAGCATTTCAGAAAGATTAAGTTGATTTTAGAATGGAAGATGTTATTAAAAAGGTAAAATCGGAAGCGGTAAGACCAGGTAAGGGCCTATCACAGTGACTGCTATTAAATATGCTTGAAAAGGAGCTAAATAGGGGTTGCTTAGTCAACAGGAGGGATCAAAAATAACACTAGAGATTTTGGTTTGAGCTATGGAGAACCACTCACTAACCAAGGGAATACGGGAAGAACGGGCTGAGGATGGGATATGAAGAATATGATTGTTTGTTGAAAATAAAGTGTGTAGACATCTGTTAACCAAAGTGTGGAAAGCTTGTTAAGCAGCTAGATATCTGAACATGGAGCACAGAGAAATCTGAGTTGAACATAAGAGATTTGGGAGCTCATACATGCCATAAGCATTAATGACATTTTATAAAATCTGGTAAGTGGAAATGAAGGTGACTGCATGTTTATAGGTTTAGTATTAAGGTATCTTAATACTAAATACTTACAAGAGATAAAAGGAGAATTGAAAAGAGAAAGAGAAACCTCCTACCACTAAGAAAGAGCTGGGAGTGGAGTGTATCCTTTGGACCCAGCATCTCTGCGCTGAGAACTTCCTATATATACCCAAGGGAGAATAACTGTAGGACATGGGGAGACCTTCAAGGAACGCTGGGTCTACAGATGCTGTACCTAAACTGTAAAGGTACAGAGGGAGAAAGCTCTCCCCAAGATCTAGTGCTTTGAATTTGGACTTCTAGTCTCCTATACTGAGAGAGGATAAAGTTGGTTTTTAAAGTCATCTACTTGTGGCATTTCTGTTATAGTGGCACTTGGTAACTAGGCAACCAGTGATGCTGTAACACTGCTCAGTCTTATCTGGAAGTAATATGAAATAAGTATCAAAAACAATAAAATTATTTCAACTCTTCACCTTAGCATTTTAAAAAAGAGATTATTTAGTCATATAATATTGCAGGCCTACTAGGTTGAAGCCATTGTCTATCAAACACAGCCTGTACCAAGATGTTCGTTAGGAGGATTTGAAATAACTCAAATGACTAGCAAATAAAGAATGGACAAGCAAGCACACGAATATGACTGTTAAGGTATTATGTATGTGAGCAACTGAGATGGAGTCAATTGACATGGTCCTTCCAGTCATAATTCCTTATGTGATGTAATTCTGGACATTACATTGGGGCGGGGGGCAACGTTCTCTGTTACAAGATTAAGGTGGGATAGATTGCTATACTCTACTAGAGGGTATGAGTTAAGTCACCACTTTTTGTTTCCTTTGGAGCATGGTATACGAAAAGACAAAATGACACCTCCATCAAAGCCCTTTCTGGGTGTGTGAGAGCCATCTTGGACCAAGTGAGAAAAGGCTGAGCGCAATGTTCAAAAGAGCACTGTCTAGATATCTGTCTGAAGTGGAGACCAGAGGTGCCAGAGCCCAGGGCAATGGACACTATGGGATGGAGCAAGAGGAGCAGCGCTGAGACGATGGGCCTGTGAAACAGAGCAAAGACAGGCTTTCCGGTCTGAAGTAGGGGCCAACGAAACACATGGCTGAGGCTGAGGATAAAAGAGACGGAGCTACGGGCCAAAAGAGCAGTGCTGCTGTGACCACTGACTGTATCCTTATTGTTCAGTGATCTTGACTTGTGGTAAACTATTAACTTCCCTAATAAACTCCCATAATTGTGAGTATTGTCTGTGAGGCCACTGCAATGAATTATTGAACACAGAAGGACACTCTGGTGGGAGAAGTGGCTCGCATTAGAATAGGTACAGAAGGATGGAGCAGAGGCAGATCTGACCTCTGCCTCTTGGCAATAGGGAAGCCAGAGGAGGCCAGCTATGGCCTCCATGCTGTTTATTTCAACTACACAAACACACCTAAGGAGATATGAACAAAATGAATCTACAAAACAAATTACTCTGATGCCCATCTCAGGGTTGGTTAAGTGAGATAATCTATAAAGCGTGTTTAACAAAGTAGCTGCACATGAAAGGAATCTTATACATGGAATTACCTCTACCTTCCTCCTTGATGTGTTTATTTATTTAACATTGTAATCAGTTTAATTACTGAACTCAACAGAAACATAGGGAGAGGGTGAACTTGAGAACATGGTATACTCTGAGAGATAAAGGGACAAGCTCACACTGTACATGCTTTGAGAAAGCTTCCTCGATCATTCTCATATGGCTCTGCAATCAGTCAGTATTTCAGATAAAAACAGTATTAATTCATTGGAAAAACTAATAGCAAAGACTTTGGAGGTCTTCTACAAACCTTTGCTTCTAACAGATGGTATCTGGGTGATATGCAAATTGCATTTAGGGCTCTGCATTGAGAAGACCGAGACCAGTGCAGTAACACTAAGAGATGATGTTAGAAACAATGTGATGTGAACATACCTATCAAACTAGGGAAGAACGAATTTAGGGTAATCCACTGAAGAAAAAATGTAGACCTGAAAATTTTCTGGATTGCAAGCTTTCCTGACAGAAATGGTTAAGAGGAAGACAAGAAAAAACAAAATATACAAATGTAGCAGAAGCAAAACTGACAAGAAAAAGGGTCTAAGTTGGATACAGAGACTGTGGAGTTAGGTAGCCAGCCTCAGAACCCATGATCCCTAACCAGTTACACTTTCAGGAAGATAAATCAGCTCCATGTTTGGAACAACCAAGTGCATCCTAAATATCAGAGGTTAATATTACTGTTTTAAATTACAAATGGCCACAATATTAAGGTACGCTATTTAGTACAGTAATTAAAAAAACCAGACACAAAACTTAGTTTATGTAAACAGATATGAACCGATACAGGAATTTGGCAGGTGGTGGCCCTTTACACATGAGCACACTGTATAGATGACTACCACTGCTCCTGTTCCTGGGAAGAGCAATCTCTTATCACTTACACTTTTAAAGACTGTGAGAAATAGTAGTAGACATTATAAAAAGATGTAGCGAATGCTTTTAAAATTTTTATTTATTATTATTTTCAGTGAAGGATTTTTTTAACTCAAAAAAAAATTAAGATGGAGAAAGCTTTCCTGACTAAAATGGTTAAATATAGCCTAGGACAGAAGAAGGGAGAGCATGACGGTGGAAAAGGAGGAAGGTAAAAGGAAATAGAGGAAAGATCTAGGAAGCACAGCTATGGATAGAGCTATAAACATAGGTATGGCCTTACATAAATTATATTAATTCATAAAAATAGTGGCATGGGTACATATATTTATATGGCAATACATTGAGGAAGTGGATGGACTTTGGGCCTCTGCTAAAGCCCTCCCACTTAGTTCTAACAACCTGGCATTCTGTGATGCTCACCCTCCCAGCACGCTCGTTGAAGACAAAATGGGTGCACAAGCAAATGTGGTGAAGAAAGTTAATGGTGCCTGGCTATCAAAAGATATAGCATCTGGGGTCTTGAAGGCCTGAAATTAAACTAGCGGCCATCCAGCAGAGAACAACAAGCCCACATGGATGAAGCACACCAGCCTGTGCAATCATGAAACATTGACAGGATCACGTAACAGAGATCAGAAGACCACAAACAAACAAACAACATATTGTTGAGCACGAGGGGGGTTGGAGCAGAGACACAAAACCCATCAGTAGAAAATGAGACATCCCCTCACAGAAGAGTCACAAGGAAGGGATGAGTCAACCAGGGTGAAGTATAGCACTGACGAAACACACAATATTCCTCTGGTTTCCTCACCCCCTGTATTAGTCTAGGTACTTTGGAGAAACAAATCCACAGCGACTCATATATAAGACAATTTTATGTAAAGAAAAGGTGCATCATGAAAACATCCCAACCCAATGCTGCCCAAGCCCACAAGTCCAACATTAACCCATTAACCCAACACCAGTCCACAAAGTCCTCCACCTCACAAAACAGAGGCAATGATGCCGACTGCAGGAGGAAAGCTGAGTCAGTGAATGAACAAGCATCTCAGCACTAGCAGGGGTCTCCACACGGCTGCTCCAGCACCCAGGGCTGCATCGGGATAGGTCCCATGTAGCTTCTCCTTGGGGATGTCTTGTAGGAAGTCAATCTTGCAAGCTGAAGCAGGGAACTGCTAAGGCAGCTGAACCCGGTGCAACCATCACAAAACAAGAGACCCGAGAACTAGAAAGGCGAGGCTCACCACCCATTTATCCCTCTGCCTTTCAATTAGCCCCACATGTGATTATTGGCCAGGCTGGCACAATTAACTAACTCACCCCCCCCACTATTATGACCCCAATCCTGCCTTTCCTTGTGGGCTAGGCCGGAGCATGTACACGGGTACAGATAAGAGCTCAGGACACATGGAATCCAGGTCAGATAAACCCCTCAGGTACAGAAATGGGAGCAGCGATACCAGGAGTGTAGAGATAAGGAGGAGAGAGGAGGGGGGAAAAACACAGGGGTAGGGAGACAGCAGTCAGTATAAGATATAAAAGTAATAATTTATAATCTATCAAGGGGGTCATGAAGGTAGGAGGGGGTTAGGAGAGGTAAAAAGAAAGGCTGATACCAAGGGACTCAAACAGAATGTAAACGTTTAGAAAATAATGATGGCAACATATGTATACATATGTGTGATATAATTGATGTATGGATTGTTATAAGAGCTGTAAGAGTCCCCAATAAAACGATCTAAACACACACACCACACACACACACACACACACACACACACACACAGCCTAGGAATAAAAGATTAGTGAGATGAACATAAGCCGGCTTCCACACTCGGATTCTATGATTACTAGATGTTTTCTACACAAAACCTTCCTCCACCTTCTCACTTTCCAGTTTAAATGTTTTTTTCTCTTTTAAATTATTTATGTTCTTATGAGATGATATAAAATTTGTTTTCCTTCTGTTTATGCTTAATTATGCCTTTATCACCATCTTGGTGTTTATAGTGATTTATAGTGTTTCAGCAGCTACAATAAAAAGCTAAAGGAGGAGAAGTACGAAATACAAACTGACACATTGACTCACACCTGGGAAATGCCAAACCCATCAGGCACAGTACAGTACCAGGCACACTATGGAATTATTAATAACACTGCCAAATTCCTAAAGCATGACAAAATATTAGAGCTCCAAGAAAAAGATGCCATATGTTTGCTATCATGATTCTTTAAAAAAACAAGGGGTAGGGGGGTGGGGGAAGGAACCAGAAAACAGAATCACAACAAAACACAGAGTAAGCAGGGTCAGAGTACCCTACTGCTTTTAAAGTCATTGGCCTCGAGTGACTAGTAACATGGTGAAAATTTACAAGTGGAAAAGCAATTGTAGGTTCTAAATCCCAACTACAAGAACCAAGACTTCCTTTTAGAAACAACAGTCAGAACAAATGCTCTGTCCATTCAATGTTGATGGCTCACACTGCTCCTCCATATTAATAATTCCTTCAAAACTTTCACCCATGAAATGGGGGAAACTTTATTAACTTGACAATGACTATGAGGTTATTTTGTTGTGAAAGACTTTGTAAACTAAAGGTCAAATATTTTTAAATACTTTGGTTTTAATTAGTGATTAGAAAGTGAAAAGTAAGCAGGGCTTTGGTATCATGTTGCTTGAACAAATTAAAAGGGAAATTTATTCTAAAAAGGCATACAGAGCTTTTGACAAGTCTGTCAAAAATGAGAAAATGGATTGAATATTCTTTTGTTTCGCATTTTCCAAAACAATCCGTTTTTAACGTTGCTGAGACTATGTATACCAGAATACATGGCAACTCAACAATTTTTATGAGCAGATACACAATTTCATGGCAGTGATTATGTTCGAGTTGTATAGCCATTCTCACCTCCTTTTCAGTGTTGTGCCACCCCTGTTAACATTAAACTCACTGCCCACTAAGGCTTCTACCTAATCCTCCAAGTTGCTATTGTCAGTTGCATCCCATGTAGATAATTCTTAAAAGAGCAAAATGCTCAACACAGATAGTGTTTGCTAATTTAGCTAACCTGCCTCTCCCCCCCACCAAATGGGAAAAAAGCTCCCCTGGGCAGGGCTTTTGAGCATCAAGCAACTTGCTCTAAGTTAGTGCACCCAGTGTTATGTTGCCTGGGAAGATTTTCTCTGGGCACAGTGAATTTTTCTGTAAAAGCAGTTTTGCTCAAACCTTTTTATTTCAATGGCCAATTTAAGAGAACAATGTGCAGCTGTGAAATTTTGTTCCCTGCTCGTAAGAAATGACTCAAAAACGGTTGTGAGGTGGAACACAGCGTAAAAGAACAGCACTAAGGGAAAAACTCAAGTGGTTTTTCTCATTTCAAAAATGGGAAATGTCGATTGATGACAAACCTCACTCTGTATGTCCGTCAACTTCCTGAATAGATGAGAATGTCAACTTGTAGTGCATCTCACCAGGTCAGACTGTTAGTTAAGCTTTCTATTCAGAGGTTCTGAAAAGAGAGTGTCACAGTGTGTGACAAAGAAGGCCTGCTTTGTGGCAGTTGGGGGCTGGTTTGGCCACCAAAACAATGCATCTGCTCTCACAGCCATCTCAGTGCTCTAGTTTTTGGCAAAAACCAGCATTTCTTTCTTGCTTCAAACACCTTACTCACCTGAACTCACTCTATGCAACTTCTTTTTATTTCCTTGAATAGAGGGACATGAAAGGACAGTGATTTGAGGATGCAGAAAAGGTGAAGAAAAAAAAACGAGGGAGGAGCCATCCAAATAGATGAGTTCCAAGAATGGAATCAAAGATTTGACAAATGTAATGGAGAGTACTTTGAAGGTGATAAGGCTGTTTTGTAAAAAAAAAATTAAATACATAGCTTTGGGGGGAAAAAAGACAGAAAGAAAGAAAATTCCGGATTTATTTTGGTACCCATCATACAATCCAAGCTTTTATTTCAAGAAATTAAAAATCACAGCAAATAGAGAAAGCATGGCTCCTACCTATTCTCTGTCTCCAGTTCATTTTTTCGCAGATTTGCATCATCTAAAAGGCTCTGCAATAAAGCAATTTTTTCATTGTCTGAACCCTCTTGGTTAAGTTTTAACATCTTATTCTCATGCTGCAGACGTATAAGTTTCTCCCTGAAGAATCAAAATAAAAAAATAATTATCTAGTACATGAATACAATATGGTTATCAAATCCAGGTATTCACGAATAGAAAATTTATTACTTAACAGTGGAAGTGAAAAAAAAAAACCTAAAGAATTTAGCTCTTATTGTTACTGGCTAAGACATTAAATTTCAGGTTTTAAGTACATGATACCTTCCTTTTAGAACACATAATCTGAAGATAATAGACTCTCCCAATATCCTGGTTTGTAAAGAATGAGAGTTTAAAGTTCTGTTTCCTTTCTGATTTAAACCTCTAAGCTTTAACTGCATTCATTTATTTATCCATTATTTTTTCTTCAGTATATGTGATCTCTTGCACTGAAATGACCAATCATCTGGTAGCAGGATATAATAAATAGGACTGCCTTCAAGCTATGAATATTGCAAAGCTGTATGTTTCAAAGCAGGGCTACTGGGCTGCATTTATGTCTAAAGTTTACACTGAGAGATATTAAAAGCAAAACAAAACAAACAAAACAAACTACATTGCCACTGAGTAAATTCCAATCATGGTGACTCTGTAGGACAGAGTAGAACTGGCCCTTTGGCTTTCTGAGGCTGTAAAGCTGGGAGTAGAAAGCTCATCTTTCTCGCAAGGAGCAGCTGGTAGGTTTGAACTGCTGATCTTGAGGTTAGCAGCCTAGTGCATAACCCGCTACACCACCAAGGCTTCTTTAAAAGCAATAGTTACACAAAATTTGCTATTCATTCGCTGCAAAGATAATGCATATGAAGATGTAACTTGAAGAGTACTATGCAGTATGGCTACAAACATTATGATCCACTTACCTAATTTCAGGAGTAACAATCTCTGCCGCCAGACTGTCTGAAGACTCCTGACTTCCCAGAGGCATTAACCCTGTAAATACACACACAGGTATACAAGGCTGGTAGACAGCAGAACTGCTGCCTTAAGTTAAGCTATGTAATTTCTATAAGGTCCAAATTTGAGCATTACTTTTAACACCTAACATGTTTTCGTTTATTTCAATTCAAAGGCACATCAGTTTCTTTACACATCAAACAAACAAAATCTGTATCTATTCCTGCAGGGATTATGGACTGGCCACGTCTTCGGCCCAAGCCTGCAGGGCATTCACTAATGTGACCTATGCATGGGCTTGGAAAAGCAGTTGCAGCACCGAAGCCACATTGTGACAAAACCAGGCAGAGCTGGAATACTGGAAGCGAAGACTATGTGGAACACTGAGGAGCCATCAAAGGGGAGGATCCTTGAACCAGGGTGCAAACATTTTCTGTAAAGGCCCAGATTGTAAGTTCTTTATTATAGGGCTGTACCACATTTTCTTTTTTTTTGTTTTTTTTT